AAATAATAACGAAATAATTCCGATTTAATAACATATTTTATTAGATAAAATAAATAAAATCGGATTATATTTGTAATTGTTTTAAAATTAATAAAACACAAATAAATAATAATCTTGATCTGATGTTTACAAAGTGGTTTTTCTATCCTCACGTCTAAGGACTTATCCTTGAAAAAATTATTCTGAAAATATTGATAAAAACAGCTGCACTTTATCAGATGAGTAGTATATATTTTTAGAGTGAGATATTAGGTAAAATAGATTTGAGAGTAGATTAAGTAAATATTGACCACTTGAAAATGAATGTACTAACTGTTCACGCACGCTCACAGGGGGAGCTTGTCCGCCCCGCGCCGGTATGATTTGAGTTGGGTCATGCGCGTGCACCGTTACCCCCGATACCTTTTAAAAAAAACCGAACAATCACTTTCTTATCGTTTGACTGTCGGGCGATAAACATCGTTATATATTGTAATTATTACAATAATTTATAAATTACTTCTATAGTGTATATTAAAATTAAAACCACAAGAACAACAACAAAGGTAAAAGTAAGATCATTTATTTCTTATTATTTCACCGAATTCAGCACCTTCCTCTTTTCGTTCCCGATTTTTTATCGAGCGAACACTAACGTTTACACTGATAGCGGTATGTGGACTATGTCCACTTTTATTGATAGTAAGTCTGGTCAATATTTAAATCATTCATCTTCAATTATATCAATTTTCAATAAAACATGTTTAAATTAAATAGTGTTATGAAGTTAAACAAACTTGATTGGTTTCAACAAATTGGTTTTGATTATTTATAGCATGTATTAACGAGTGTTTACTTACATTAACGATATCAAAAAAAGAATTAAGTAATACATTTTATAGATTATACATTTAGTACAACATATTGGGTGATTAACAAAATTAATAAACTGATTAACACTAATTTGGAATAATTAAAAAACATGCGGAAAGTTACTAATATTAGTTTTAAAATGTTAGCTAACATTTATATTACATGAAAGATGAAGTAACGAATGAGAACGCCCAAATTCGTTCTGTAATGCGGAACAAAACTTCGGTTGAGGTTAATCGCTGCTACCTATTGATTCGGCTACGGTGACTACCAGATAGAATATGGTGGAAAATCTCAAAAAATTTGTAGTAACTGAGACAGAGCATGTGAAAACTGAATTCAACAACTCGAAAAAACGATTCTTATATGAAAGCATAGAAGATCTGAGGTACTGTGTTCAAAGCAAACATGTACCGAAGTAAATTAGTGAACTCATTGAATTCCAATGGGACAAGACAAGGATGAGCAGGGATGGTTTATGGCTTCAAAACTCCCGAGATACACCAATTCAGTACCAAACTTAACTTTCAAACATTTCTATGTGACATTAATACCAGATTATCAACATTTGCAAAATGGCAAGCAAAATTTTATTAATTTGCTTCAATTTTAGGTGCTAAAGTCTCGTTATATATGAATGTTAGAATATATGAATGCACGTAGCTAGCTTAGAAGTTGATGCAAATCTATGATTTTAGGATAGTAGCCATAGATCTAATTTTGTAGCACTAGTAGCAAGACTACTATTAGATGATGTGGTGTATGTGAGCTGTCACCGTCACACCAAAATAGCTGATGTTAGAGCTACAGAGCTATCTATCGTATATTAGACCTGTATAAGAATACCGTTTGAGAAACCAAAGGGAAGATTGTGATGCAATGTAATTTCAGTGTGAACAAATGGGTTGCAATCAAATGACTCTAGCACACCTCAACATATCGGCGAACGATTTACGCAGCGATAATCCTTGATATAACATTTGCCTCGTAGATGACTGGTGGGTAATCGATGATATAAAATTTCTTGAAGACTTGTAAAATCGTTTTATCCAAACTGATACATATGAACTGAATGCAATCCAGCTGAAATCGTGAATTTGCCGCAATGCACAAAAGAATCTTTTATGCTAACAAAAATAAAGTCGTTGAACTCGAAAACAACAAGGTATTGGTGGACTACCAATATTGTCGATCTTCGTATTTTACATACTTCGTGTGAGATGGAGGTGCTGAAGCTGAAGAAGCGATAATAATATTAAATCGGCTATCTACAAAAGTAAAGATTTTAACCCAGTTCGGTTATGGAGTTATCCCGTCATGAACTAGCTAATTTTGATACCGTCAAGGAAGTTCCATTGTTCATAGAAGATGAACAAATCAACCGACGTTGTATAAAGCTTTCTTGACGAAGAAATGGTTTTGCTACGGGTGTAAAGTATAAAACTTAGTAAGAAGCAACGCAATCTTTCTGATCCATCTTCATATCAGTGTAAAGTATACTTAAAAGATTATCAGACAGGCGACATTTTAACTTACAGGTAAATTACCTGAAATGCACTGTGGCTTTCGACAAGGACGTTTTAAAGTGTTTTCTATGCTTTCTAGTGATTTTTCTATGACGATGAGCTTAAGAAAAAGTTGGACATGTACGAGACATAACCGAAGCCTAGAGATCATTATTATTGTTATAAGAATAATTCTTAATTGGGTGGATGATCGTGGTCCTTGGCGGCAGAACACATAGAGGTCAAAAACGATAAAATCTCCTTCTGTGAACATGTCAGGTGAGTTAGTAATAATGCCCGAAAAGTGATCACCATCCTCAACCACATCATAGAGAATTTAGTCAAGTCAGTTACGACCAAGCAAAAATTACATATGTATGAAATCAGTCACTTGCATTTCGAGGTGAAAATGAGGCGCGCATACCGAATAGTGTCGGCGGCCACTTTCCCATAGAAGTTCTTCTAAAAATTTTAGATGTGCTCGATAAAACGAATGCATTGTACAACTATGTCGTATTGTGTGAGAAATCCGAAGTTAAGTTTCGGGGATGTTACCCTGTCCATTCTTTTCGCTAGCCGGCGTAGAATGATCTTTTCGACGGCTTTGTCTAAGGCGGGAAGCACGCTAATTAGTCGGTAGTACTCAGGTCGAGTCGGCGATTGGAAGTTTTTTCAAAACAATGATGTTTGGGGTTCTATGGTGTCCTTGGTATTTTGTAAGCTTTCTTCAGGTTAAAAATGTACAGTACTTCTTCTAATGAAGTTGTGCCGATTTAGTCTCCGCCATCTTTCTCTCGTATTTTTCGTCAGTTACGTTGGAAAGGACGGAGGTAGTCCACGTTGACATCTCTATGGTTTGGCTTTATCTTCAGCCTTGTTCTTCAGTGCTTTTATGGTTTTCCATATGGCTCCTGACTTGCTGAGGATAGTTCAATGACTTTATCCGAATGGGTGGTTCTGAGTCTGCAAAGTTGAGTCCGTTGATAACATTTTCTCATCCCGTTTTTGTCATTGGCTGCTTGTTTTCGATGAGTTTATGCAATTTATTGTTGAGTTGACCAGATCGGTGGTATCGATCAGAGTGATGGAGTCCGTCGTAGGAGAAGATAATCAGTGAAGCCAAATCAGAAAACGTTCTTTTTATGTCCAGTTGATATCGCCACATCCTCGATGTTGAGGACATCTGGAACTGCTTTGGCTGGATACATGGTTCTTATGATCTTACAAAAATCGTCGGCAAATCGAAGAAGTGTTTTGCCACTAGGTTGGTTGTTTTGGAGTTCTAGCTGGGATGCTTTCAGTTCAGGTCAGGATAATTGTTCTTCGCTTGGTGATTGTGTTAGATCGTTGTACAACTCCTGTTGTTATAGTCTGTTGTAGAGACGACCATGAGTGTCAGTGATCCGATGGTAGTTGCGATAAATGTTACAATTTTGAGATAGGTTTGGAATAGGATTTATAAGTTGATCGATTGATGTCTTTATTATTATTGACGGTCTTCCTCGGGGTCCGACCAAATGGTCTACCTGGTACACTAGGAAGTTCACTTGGTACAATATTATGTTGAGTTGATGCGACAGTTTTCACGAATCTGGACTTGCTTGTTGATTAGCAGCAAACTGTTTCTAACTATATTAGATACAAGCAACTTAGGCTACATCATTAGTAAGTTGTAGCTAAGCTTTCTTCTTTCTTCTGGTTGATTCAGAAACTTCACTTATTAATTATTTTAATTCTTTAAATCGAAAATACCGTTTGTGTAACATCATATACAATAATTTTCATTTTAAACATTACTAAATAATCATTTTTTATACCTTCTAAATTATCTTTGAAAGCAAAATTTTGCAAATTACAGTAAATTTTAATTTTATTGTTTCAGAAGATAGTATTGTTTTTAGATTAATTTAATAGTTGTACAACCGGCTTTGCTTAAATCGAAAGGATTGTGGTATAACAGCAACAAAATTTTGCTGTTTGAAATAAATGTTGTAAATTTCCAAAAAGATAATAACATAATCTTATTGACATAATAATCAATCTTTGATAACGTAATATTTACAAACATATTTATCATTAAATGATGATCATCACGTATTCAAACAATGACCTTGAAGGTGTATATTAAAATAAAACTATCAATCAACCATGTACAACAACAACATTGCACTAAATCTAATCAAAAAATTTGGACTAACATTTACGATTTTTCTATTTTTATAAAATTATATAACTATGTGGTAGTTTAAAACACAAGCACCACTTATCAATGATTAACAAGCTCAACAAACAATTGTAAATAACTATAATATTTATAAATTATGCTAAAGTCATATTCTCCAATAAGTCGTAAAATTATCTAAATTTTTGGAATTAATCTTCAATTATTTAAATGATACTTATAATTCGAATAAGATTTAAATATTTTTGTATTGTTCTATTTTTAAACATTTATTTTTGGAAATAAATCCGTTAAATGTAATAAATCCCTCACTACGTAAGCATTTCTTATCAATGATTGACAAATTTTAACAAACAATTTGAAAGATGTAATCAAAATAAGTATGTACTATTTACAAATTTGATTATCATACAGATTATCGGTTACTATAAAAACACAAGATGTGTTTCAAAGACGATTATTCTTCATTTATATTTAGGTGCTATTTAAATTATTATATAACGTTCAATTTTAATAAATCATTATTTTTAGGATGAAGCTTCTTGTTTTGGCGTTGATAGGGGTGGCTTGTGCTTCTCAAGTCAGATACGACAATTTTAAAGTCCACAGGCTCTTCCCTCAAAATGAAGATCAAGTGGAAGCTTTGAAAACGTTGCAAGACAACGGAGTATATGATTTTTGGAGTGATGGAATTGGTTTAAATTACACTGTTGACGTCATGGTTCCTCCACATTTAGAGTTTAATTTCCAAGACTTTTTACGTTTGAAGAGTTTAAATGCTGAAGTTTTTGTTGAGAATGTTCAGGATCTTATTGATATGGAAAGGGCTCCTGCTCATCCCCGTTCAATGGGTTGGGTTGATTACTATGACTTAGATGAGGTATTTTTATTCGATTTTCCGACTTAATTGTTTTATTAATTTCGTTTTAGATTTATGCTTGGTTAGATCAATTGGGAGAAGATTACCCTGATGTTGTAGAAGTTCTCAGCCCCGGTATGTCTTATGAAGGACGTGAAATTAAGGGGGTTCATATTTCGTTTTCACCAAATAACAAAAATAATATGGTGTTTATTGAAGGTGGAATTCACGCTAGAGAATGGTAGTATTATAATCTGGAAAAAGAATCATAAAAGTATGTTTATTTTTAATTAGGATCTCATCTGCTGTCGTAACCTACACCATCAATGAAATTCTTAATAGTGAAGACCCAGATGTTCGTAAAGTAGTCGAAGAATACGATTGGTATATCTTCCCCGTTTATAATCCTGATGGATTTGTATATACGAAAACTACAAATCGCATGTGGCGTAAAACAAGAGTACCTTATGGCAGTTGCTTTGGAGCTGATCCTAACAGAAATTTCGATTATCGTTGGAACACGGTCGGTGCTAGCAATAACCCATGTTCTGAAACTTTCGCCGGACCTTTTGCTCATTCCGAACCAGAAGTTGACAGCATGACGGAATTTGTGTCTAAAGTTGAAAACAGAATGGTTGCATATTTATCTTTCCATTCTTACAGTCAATTACTTTTGTTACCGTTTGGACATACTACAGCACATTTAGATAATTATGCAGAATTGGTAAGATGTCTTATATTATGTTAAAAATTAAAATTGTTACCAAGATGATTTCTTTGTATAGAGAGAAGTTGGGTTAATCGGAATGGAGAAATTGAAGTCATTCTTTGGCACTGAGTACCGTGTAGGAAATACTGCGGAAATTTTGTGTAAGAAATCAATATTTATCTCTTGAAATGATATATATGAGATTTGCAAATTATTATAGATGCTGCAGCTGGAACTTCAACTGATTGGGTTAAAGGTATTTATGGAACAAGGATCACTTACACCTATGAATTACGTGATACTGGAAGATACGGATTTGTTCTTCCGGCCGATCAAATTCTTCCTAGTGGTATCGAAACATTTGCTTCTGTTATTACTATTTTGGAAGAATTTGGTAAAAGATAATTTATAGTACATAAATGTTTCTATGAAAAAATAAATAAAAGTTAACAATACCTAATTTATGTTCTTGTTCCAACGACCTTCACGTGCTTACACGAGCCGGGTATCACCACACATCAAAAATAATAATTAAATATTCATAAAAATATAAAATGTTTTATCTAATAAGATTTTGAGATTTAGGGTTCTTTAATCTCATTATTTATGATTGTATATATTTCCAAAAAAATACCCATATAACTTTTATAGATATCAAAATATCTCAAGAGATTAAAGGTTCAGGCAATGATTGACGAATTGTATAAATGGTTTAAAAGGTGTAATTACAATAATGCCATGAAATATTCTTAATATAATGCGATAACTGATCTGTATATAAAAACGTATTTCTCCCTTTAATTTATCTACTTTTCGCCAGGTAATTCTTTTATCCTTATTTTTCATCAAATTATTGATTAATTTCTTTACAGGATGAATATTTATATATGGATGTTAACAATAGGGGTGGTTTGTGCCTCCCAGGTAAGATACGACAACTTCAAAGTTCATAGAGTATTCCCAAAAAGTGAAGATGATGTAGAAGCTTTAACAAAATTGCAAGAAAATCCATCTTACGATTTTTGGACCGATGGAGTTGGATTAAACTATACCGTTGATATTATGGTACCACCCCATTTGGAATTTAACTTCAAAGATTTTTTATGTTTAAAAAACTTACAATCGGAAATTTACATTGAAAACGTACAAAATCTTATTGACAAAGAAAGGCTCTCCAATAAAAGAGCTGACGGACCAAGATCTATGGGATGGTTAGAATATTACGAATTAGATGAGGTAACCCATTACTTATAACCGTAAATTTTAATAGATGTTAATAATACGTTTTATTCTTAGATTTATGATTGGTTAGATCAATTAGCAGTCGATCATTCTGATGTTGTAAAAGTTTTAACTCCAGGTACCTCTTATGAAGATCGCGATATTAAAGGACTTCATATTTCATACTCTGCAAATAATGAGGATAACACTATTTATATCGAAGGTGGAATTCATGCTCGTGAATGGTACTATAAAAGACTTTATGAAGAGAAATAAAGCTAAATCTAGAAACTCTTTATTAAAACACTGCTTAACGTATTGGATGCCATCTTCAAAAACAAGTTCAAAAGTGACAAAATTGGTGATAATTGACTATTTATATTCTCATGGTTTATAATTATTTTGATTTTTCTAAATCTGATATCCATATTAAATCGACTCTTCTGTAATACTAACGGAAATATTTTTGCTATCGGTAATGTATTGTGAAGATGGCTGACTATTTCATATCTATGCACGACAATAAGCACTACTTATTGTCATTGTTGGCCCATTGAATGTTGGCTCGATAAGACAGCAAAATATTCTGGAAGGTTCTGGGACGTTCCTCGATAATCCCTCAGGTATAAATATCTTTTACCAACAGTTTGGTAAAAAGTGATTTTACGTCGAAGTTAACAAATCAAGGGATATACTTCCAATTATTACATAAAATGCGTTAAATCGTTATCATATAGTTTGTGTTTTCTGTAAAGAGTGGCAGTAATTTTGCAAGCTGAAATGTAAGTAAGTTCGTGCGTTCTTATATATAATTTCTTCTTTGACGCTAAGGTTGGAACTATGAAGTTTTTTATCAATTACTACTGGTAAACCATCAGTTTTCTTTATAAGTCTCTGAGGTTCTATGTTCAACCTTAGTGTTTTATAGCAAAACGATGTAGTATATGTTAACTCAGTTTGGATGGATATGATATTAATTGCAACACCGCAACCGACCTCGTCTTAATCAAACTAAAACCTATATTTTATGTTCTGTATTCAGCCAAAATAACTTTCGAATAAGATTTCGCAATACATGATAACTTAGTTTTGGATGGATATGGTATTAAGTATAACGCCTTGGTAGCAAGCGACCTCTGCTTAATCGAGTATATGATTTGTGAAATCATTTTATCAGTCAGCGTCCAATAATTAAGATCACCATGGAGAAAGAAAGAGATCACCAAGTACAATGCCTTGATGTATGTGACCAAGACCAATAATGAAGAACTGAAATATGGAGTGCATCGGAAGGAAACGTCGTGTGTGTTTCCATAAGTATCTATAAGCATTTACATACCGTCACCCACAACAGCAGATGGGTATAATTCGTATTCTTTGCCAATGAGTCAGTTGACTGCGACGGAAAAAATTTGAAGAATCAAGAACGATTTCTAAACAACATACTGCAGAGATATGGTAATTTATGGAAAAACATTCAACGCATCAACAACCAGAAGAATAACAACAGATAACGGATGTGGTATGTAGGCGGTTAGATATGGACCTTAGATGTAACGTAATGCATTCAGCAAAGAACAAGCTTCCTCCATTAAAATAGCGGGACGTACCTGTCGCACAACTATAAGGAGAAAAACCGCTGACAGGCAACTACTATTATTATCAATCAAGATCAACATCAACAGAGAGAATGGTATGAGCATTGGACTCTATGAAGGATTTTCTCACTCCACACCGAACGCTGTAATTAGCCCATAGCAATACTCTCTACCACAGTAATAGTATAGTTCATCGCCCAACTTACAATCAACTTGTTCACTTTAGAACTTGTTTCTGAGAAAGGTGACATCCGGAACGTCAAGCCCGAACAATACCCGAAATAGCTCGTTTTAGTTTTATTTCTAATAACACCGGCCGTGAAAGTCTACGAATTTGTAACTTTATGACAACAATTTAATCAATATTTATTTTAGGATTTCATCGGCTGTAGTTACTTATATAATTAATGAAATAATTACCAGTGAAGATCCAGAAGTTCGTAGAGTAGTTGAACAATATGATTGGTACATTTTCCCTTTGTACAATCCGGATGGTTTTCATTACACCAAAACCACCAATCGTATGTGGCGTAAAACCAGAGTACCTTATGATAATTGTTATGGTGCTGATCCTAATCGAAATTTCGATTATCGTTGGAATACCCGAAATGGTGCTAGTAATAACCCATGTTCTGAAACATACGCAGGACCTTATCCTAATTCAGAACGGGAAATAGCCACCATGTCAGAATTTGTTGATAAAATCCATGACAGATTGGTTGCTTATTTTTCTATTCATTCTTATGGACAATTATTGTTGTTACCATTTGGACATACAAAAGATCATTTAGGAAATTATAATGAATTAGTAAGTATAATAATTTTCGCAAACACAATCGTTCAAATGCCATAATATCGCCTTTAGTAAACTATTATTTTTTTTTATTATTAGAAAGAAGTTGGCACAATTGGAATGGAGAAATTAAAAACATACTACGGAACTGAATATCGAGTGGGAAATACCGCTGAGATTTTATGTATGTAACAGGAATTATTTCTGCATAGATGTATTAAAATTAAATATTTATTATAGATGTTGCTACTGGAACTTCGACTGATTGGGTAAAAGCAACATACGGAACGAGAATCAGTTACACTTATGAACTTCGAGATACAGGATCATATGGATTCATTTTACCACCAGATCAAGTTCTTCCTAGTGGTATTGAAACGTTCGGTTCTCTTGTTACTATTCTGGATGAATTTGCAAAGCGATAAACGTTATTATTGTTTACTTAAAACTGTTCTGAAAATATATCAGTTGAATTCATTAGTTTTTAATACGAAATAAATGTAAAAAATTGCTTTTAATAAAAAAAAATCACTGTTAGAGTTTATTTCAGCGGACATTATTAGATAAAATATCAGTAATTCATTGATTACTAAGGCGTCAATCCACAAAATTAACGCTATATATGATGCATGGGACAACAGCTATAAAGAGTATTCTTTCATTGCAGTGGAAGAATATTTTATTAGTGGTTTTTTATATTATTGATAAAGTAGTGTCTTCTCTAGATGTTATTCTCGTATACAGATACCAATATTCGAATCGTCCTGAGTTGTGTTCTTGTACTGAGTTGAGGTCTTTTTCCTGCGCTTTTTTTTCAATTCGTTGCGTCTCCCGATATTAACCTCTCCCATATTTCTGAATGCAGGATAATCAGTCTCAATCCATTGGCGATTTTGGTTATAAGCAGCGTTTTTATCAGAAAGTTTTTGATTATGTAATAAAGCTATAGTATGTATTCTATTTCAAATAACAAATTTGTAATCGACTACCGGCAGATTGGAAATAGTGGTCATCTTGGAAGTATTTTAGGTCGAAAGACAACTTCTTGCAATATAAATTTCAAAGAGGTAGTATACTAGAAGTATTACTTCTTTGAAGTAATTTTTTTATATAAAACTTCTTTTAATAACTCTTTGAATGTGTAGGCAACCAATCTCGCACTGAATCGTCTGGTTATTAACTTTTATTATCGGGTCTTGTATATATATAAGGAACGTTTTTAAAGCAATGACTGATATTAAAAAAAAACACAATGTTACATTTCAAATATTTTATTGTTATGCCAAATCGCTTGATGCTAAATTTCACGTTTAGGGAGGGAGGTCGAATTAAACCAATCAATTGCTGCAATTAGATCTAGAGTTTGTATGAACATACGATTTTTAAGCATCTATCTTGAGCACAATTTCTGAAATCTTAACGTTATGTCACAATGTTTTAGAGAACTGACTTTAAACTTTTTGGAAAATGCGAAGACAACACTGATATATCAGTATACTATAGTCTATAGTCTATAAATCGTTGCGAATACTTTCTTTTGTGATCACATTTTCATAACCTCCGCAAAACTGTCGAATCGTCATTCGATTGCTCAATATTGTTTAAATGTTTGCTGGCGTAATATTCTCCGCGTTCAAGAAACGAATAAGAACAATAAGAAAACCCAAAACAACTTTCTCTTACAGCTGCTCCATCTGGTTTCCAAGTGAGAGAAGAAATTAATCGGAGGTGTTCAAAATCGCTACTTCAACAGCAGTCTCCTCCTGATTTCCTCTACAGATTTTTGGGAGGTTTTCGAACCATCTTCTCATTTCAGTAGATCAATACATTTTAGTCTGAAGCTATGATTTTTTTTAGACGGGAATCTTCCCTGGACGAGATAATCTCTTCGCGCTTTCTGTTATGTCGTGCTTTTTATTACTTTAGGTTGCCAGCAAACATGATATCTCACAGATGGTGAGATGTAAGTATCTCATATTATTTCTGAATCAGCGCAAGTATCCAGGGTATATAGAGTGTCCTTTGTGAAGAAAAAATTGAACACAGTCTCTCCATTTGCAACTTCTTTTAGTAGACAAGGGGAGAGATTTAACTTCGACCTCTCGTTAACGTTCTGATACTTAGAAAGTGTTAAGCAGCTATGGAATAATTTCGATAGGTGTTGCCCTTCAAATTGCAGGAAAGACTGACATAATTCCATCTGCTCCTGGAATTTTAAACGATATAAAAGTTATAATGGCTCATCGTATTCTTCCTTCCTCGAAGATAAAGTTGGCTGATGATTACTTAATAGAGATATTAGACTACGAACCTAACTAGTCCTGTATTGCTAGGAATGGCACATCCCATGTTCCAAATACATATTCCATTTTTAAATCACTCGTCTAAGAAAGTTCTGTTCAGTCCGAGACATTTCTTTAGGTATGGTTTTTTGTGGTAATGGATTGTTAACCCATTGAAGCAGTGCACGCTACTATCAAAGAAATTATATGAGGTAAAATAAACAACCATCTGATGAACCTATTTTCATCAGATGGCTTGAACAGTTTGTCCAATATAAGATAGCCGAAGAAGTGGTGTTAATACGAATGATTGCGGAAAAGTTTTCAATGGGTTGTGGATAAGAATTTGACAATAAATGTCTACTGGGAGCTATCCGTTTGACCCTCATGTTATTCCTGATAAGGCTTTTGCTTCTTTAGCTGTATCCCACATAACACATAAGATACAGTCCGCGGTGTGTGTGCTTCTCTTCTGATTTGAGTGATTTTGTGATTTCAATGGGTTTGATCTCCCGACGTTTTCTGCTACCTACCTTTTTTTATCGTTGTTTCTTTTTACCTTTGGTTGTCTTGGGTTTGCGCTGCTTTCTGTTGTCAACATCAGAACTGAACCATCTAAGGAACATCCATTTTTATACGATATATGTAAGCTATCAAAACTGAGAAATATATATTACTCAAAGGTGCATGGACTACCTGTCTTTAAGATGAATTCAATTGTTTAAAAAAAGGAGTCGATGTCTTAACACACACTATATTATTAAAGTGTGTCTTACCTGAACTACACATTTTAAAAATATAGAGAAAACGATGCATTCCAGAATCTTAATTTTAAACCCATCGTATTCAGGAAACCTCAACAGTCAAGAAAAAATCAATACTACTAAGAACACATTTCACCTTTCGTTTGCTTCTTCACATGTGTTACCTTGTATCCTGAAATTTTTGTTGTTGTATAAGCTCATGTAATAGTTTGACTGGATGTTACAAACACCTTGTTCATTGACAGTAAAGAAGTGAATCAAGATAAGCAAAAGTAACTAATAAACTATAAGGTAAAGCAGACTTTTGGATCAGAAAATGTGCAATTCTGACTATGAGAGATAATCACAAAGCTAGAAAAAGGTTTCCTACAAATTTCACCTGAAACCTGTTGTCAACACTTTTTTTACTTACTGCTTTAATACTTTATTATTTCTCTTGCAGTGATATTGATCTTTGTGGGTAAATAAACAAGTGTGGTCAAGCGTAAGGAATCCGTTGAAAGTTGAAGATAAACTGTAAAATTTTATAGTTAGAACAAAGGGACACGAACTTGTGCATTTGCGCAAATATCATATCATTCGTAAATATAAAATACTACTATATTATTTCGTTTAAGGCAAATAAAATTGTTTATGAGCTATACCACTTTTATTCCGAACTGAGAGGACACATATGTCTCAATAAAATATACTAATATACAAGCTCTATATTCTCTACTTATAGGTACTTACTTCTGATGAAAATAAAATTCATTCCGTTCTAAAATTTTGACTTTGTCTTTATTTATATTTTGTCTTTTTGACACGGTCTGTATAATTATCTGTTGTAACACAACCTTACTCGTGCATATCGTATTCAGGTATGTGTTAATAAGATGTTCAACTTCCATTCTGATTCTCGTTTTTCCTTTCTCTTCCTTTTTTCGCTGCTTAAATAATAAAATCAACGCTCAGGGATATAATAGAAAAGTACAGTCCAAAATTTTTATTATTGATCTCTATGTTCCTTTTCTCATGTCTCTGGTTTTAATATCACGTCAAGTTACAAAATGCGCTGTCAACACCAACTCTCCGAGGTATAAGAGAAAAGTAGACTTAAGGAGTTCAAAAGTCGATAATAGTCTCCGATTTTTTTCATACATTACAAACTCTTTTTAATTAAAATGTGTGTGGTAAAAATTATAAACTATTGGTTAAAAATGACTTTGTACAAAGAAGTATTTTTAACTGGGGCATTGAAGGCATCAAAACAACAACTAAAACTTAGAAGTAGGAAGTAATGAAATGAATTTTATGTTATCTGGGATTCTTGTAAAGTTTTAACGCATCGTTAAGTTTAGGTCATCTGAATTTTAAACAGCACCTATCTGACTATAAAATTTTTATGTTTTTAAGTTAATCTTACCGCATTTAACTTTATAAAAGATATTTAAAATATTGTTTTAATTAAAGGGCCAAGAAATGCTAATTAAATTATTGTGGTTAAGCTTTAATCGTTGGAGTGTATACCAACAAAGGCGCATTAAATTTGCTAAAGTATGTAGACAAGTCAAAGTTTCTGAAACTCGGAGGTAACTTGCGGTCAAGTTGGGTGGACCCTCGTCACTTTACCGGATAGCCTTTTCATGCTGTTATCGTGTGTTCTCACGGTTACATCAATCAAACTGATCAAAAAGAATGGAGTGAAAAATAGATCTACTTATCACACAGTATTATTTATTTTATTTTTTTATCGAAGAGACAGATAACGGAACGTTTGAGATAAACAATGGGTTTTTGGAAATGAATAGGGTGACGGTGATTTTCAAGTGGGAAATGTCGAATGCGGGAATTTCCACCGCGCATACGTTAGGTGGTATATATTCTCGATTGGATCAATTGGTGCCAATTTAAAGTCCTCCATCATTGGCAATGTGGGTCCAATTCAGAGCTCCATACGCGGTCGCACGTATGTCCTATTTCGCCATATGTGGGGTGCATTGCACTTTCCTATCATCCGAGATGCCTATCACGTCCCCTTCAGTAAAACTAATCCGTCTTCGGCGTCGTCTAGTGACTTTCCGGAGGGCTCAACTATGCGGAAAATGCCCAGAATCCTCGATGTAGTAGCATTCAGTGTTTACCAGGCCATACTGCTGTCGTGATACAAAGACCCGGTGAGAAACCGAGAAAAACGAAAGCTTCGGGCGAATTGTTTACTGGCAAGAGTGAAATTTTCCGCTTGACACTCGGAATTGCAAACTTCTTGCATTTAAGTCTTACTCATTCTGACGCTACTGTTCCTAGATATAGAGTAATATAGGAATGGAGTTTCGTCGTCTTGTTTATCTCGTGACAGTTCCTTCTCGGCTTTTCTTAATGAGGTTAATGCGGATAACTTGTTAAGTTTGGATATATTTTCTTTAAGAAGATTCCATATTAAACAAAGTAGAAATGTTGCGCTTTTCTAATTAATTCGAATGATTTAATCTCTTTTTTTATAATGTTATACTGTTACGTGTCTTGTTTATATACCCTAGAGGCACGCTGTTATGACATCCCCGAGGTTTCTAATTGCTTTACGGTCGATTCTCGCATCCATGTATTGCGACAAATGCAATTAGTACCCAACTGGTTAAGAGAAACATCCATCTCTATTTATCTTTACATTGTTTACTATAAAGGGAACAGTCTAAAAATAGATTATTTTTTTTAGATTTACTAGTACTTATTATAGTAGTAACAACTAAAAGTTTTGGGTTCTAGAAATTTTAAATTTTTATTTACTAGGTAGAAATATATAATAAAATTCATATAAATCTAGAATTGAAGACCGCTTGCGCACTTTCCGTCGTGGAGCTTTCCCGAACTCGCTTTCGAGCTTTAAAGCTTTCAGTGATTGTCGAAGCGGCGTACAACTGCAAGCGTTCAGTGTAAGCTTCCGCTAAGTTCAACACGTGCTCATCGAATCTGAAGAAAACAAACCGAATCGGTTATCTTAATTTCATTTTAAATAATTGTTATAAAAGGTAAGAAAACTTTATTGTTTTTATTTAATACGTTAAACACTATAGTTTAGGTAACACTGTAGATATACGAAAAATTTAATTATGTGTTCGACACGAAAATTGAATTTTGATTTTAATTAACCGATAAGTTTTATCGAACCGTTATTTATTATACGTATGTGGTTAAATGTTACAGGTTTCAGTATTATAATTGAAATATGATATAAAATCCAATTTGTTTCTTTTAAATAATAATATTAAAATATGGTAATAATTAAACGGTGAATTTAGTCCATTTTATAATTTTCGTTTAGGTTAAAAAAGTTTTTTTAAACTTTTTACTTAAGACGCCTTGAATAATTTTAATGAAACGAATTATACGAATACTTTTTAAACTCTTAACGTTCAAATTAACATTCCATTTTCGCTCAAAAACAAGTGTTTTATCATTAAACTGTAAACAAACTTATTTTCTTTTTAGATTTTTATAATTTTAAAATTTATGCTATTTATAAACTGTTTATTAACATTATGAATGAGTGCGTGAATATTTTATTTACTATATAATTATGATCACGTTTGAAAACGTGTGGTGAAAATGTGTTCGTGCTATTTATTTTCATTTATTAATTTATGAGGTTTTACCTCGAACCTATTATAAGTATGCGTACATCATTTCTTCTTTCAATAACAATTCTATGTATGGAATTCCAAAATATTATGATCTACAAAATAACGTATTTCGAATTTAGTTTTATTTTATTTACCATTTTGCGTTTGTTGTTTGAATATGATGTGCGTATTGATTTCAATTTTAATATTCTAAAAAGAAAGATGTTTCTTAGGCATTCGAATACAAAGGGAAAAGAGGGTTCCGGTTTGGAATGTTCTCTTCTTGGTAGAATTTATATCACTCAGGAAATATTTCGAATTTTCGACTCGATGATCTTTTCTTTTCATAATATTGCTATAAAATATTTTTAAAATTGTTGATTATAAGAGTTCATCAAATTGTATCATGTTTGATTCTACTTTATCTCATAAATCTTAAAAGTTTTTATGCAAATAAAGTTAGGGAAAAACAAAAACAATAAGTTTTTGTTTTTTCCTGCATTTCCATAACTTTCAGATAAATTTGTAAGATTCTAGAAACGCAGTTGAGAAACTTGTTATTTATAAAAACTTATTAAGTTTATTCCAACACTTAAGTTTTCAGCATCTATCAGCATATATTTGATCTTCATTTCCCTCATCCTTGCTTTTTTAAGTCATAGAAAATTGAAGTTTGCCATTCCGAGGCCTTAGAATTGGTTTACGGGTTGTACTCTAACACCCAAAATTTGCTCCCTATCATGACATGCTCCATAAACAAAATCATTTAGAATCGATACTAAAATGACAAACAACGTTCCTGTCTTGGTTTTTGTATCACATATAGAGTGATGCCGATATCAACAGGATAAAGATAAGTCACGGAAATGTCTGTTGTGTTACTTCCATCGCGATATTCCTCGTTATAAATTAGTGTAAAAACCAAGGCGGTCTAAGAACTAACTTAAGTACTATATTTAATAATCTTTAATTTGTGAACAGGGACTTGACTGTGGTTCTACATATATTGGTGGATTTTTTTTGTAAGTGTTCGCTGTGTACAGGTGTGGCTGGGTCAATGATACACTTAATAATCTGTTGAGGTGTAGTTCATGTTTGTAATGATTATACGGCTTATATTCTTTTATCAATCAGCTTTCCGCGATCATTTAGATGTTCACAAATAACAAATGTGTAATTTGCGCATTATATAATTCGCGAATCAATAGTAGTACTAGATCTCTTTACATTGTTTATGCTTGTCCCTTTAAATAAACGATCTGACGTGAGTTTCTTCAGCGCATGTTGACTATGTATGAGTACAAAATTGGGTTTGTCAAAGCTTGCAATATTCAGATCTATACTGTGCATGGGCTTTAAATGTTCATGAGAGATTTCTACTGGTTAGGTACAAAAGTATTGTTAATACGTGGAAAAGAATCTTGGTCTTTACAATATAGTAAATGTGGAAATCCTGGGAATCGACCATACAAGGGAATTAAAACAAATTAGTCCTTTTTTCCTTTAACCGAGCTTTCGGAATAATTTTATTCCTTCGTCAGGGCAAAACTAATTAATTATAAGAAAACAAAGGCTAAGACGCATAAAGCATAAAAAGCCAAATATATAACGAAAGCCTGGATACTCAGTTTAACACTTCAATACTCAAAAATATGATAGTACACAATTACATTATTAAAGTTACAAAAATTAAGCACAAAGTAACGTTAAACTACAATTTAAAATTATAAAGTTCGGCACGAGCCACGTTAAAAGTGGAAAAAACCAGATTTACATGTAAGAACCAAAGGAATAAGGAAGAGAAAAAAAAACGACCTTTATTTCAGAAAAATAACAAAAGGTGGCGTCGAAAATATGAAACATTACAATTCCAAAATTTAATAACAAAAACAATAAAATGAATTATATCTAAAACTGTAACCAAATAAGTTAAAAAGTTAAGAAAAAAAACTAATAAAAACAACAACTAGAGTTATCTTTGGAGTTGTTACTGGATGACCAATTATTAGTAACTAGGAAGACATATACAGAACTTAAATTTTCAGTATCCATTCTAAAATTCACCGATCCAACTTCCCTATTAATATAAACCATTTCTAGAAAGATGCTCTTATTGTAATTCAATTCCTTTTCAAGGATAGAGATATTGTCAAAATCAAACTGATGCCCTTCTTTAACGTGATGCGCAAGTAAAGCACTCTTTCTTTCTTCGCGTGCTTGACAATCTCTCTTATGCTGGTTGATACGGCTAAATAAGTATTGAGAAGTAGTTCCTATATATGATCCATCGCAATTGCTACATGGGATCTTATGCATAGATGACATTTGACTTGGATAACAACAGTACAAGTTCTTTAGTTCTTGAAAATAGAGAGGAAAGAGGTAAAAAATTGGTGTTAGAAAACCTCAGAGTTTCAGAGGATAGTACAGAATTCAGTTATTTAGTGAGATCGGGTAGGTAAGAAATTTTTATATATTTAGTGATCCTAGTTGGGTTAACAGTATGTTGTGGCGCTGTCATGTCAATAATATTAATCTTACTACTGTTGTGGTTAAGGATACCACCCAAAAGACGAGGTGGAAAGCCATTATTAATGAAAATGCTAAACAACCTTTTTTTATTACCTTCCCAAAAAAACAGGGTTGGAAATTAATATAATTCTATCCCGCATGGCGACAATAGTATTAATCTTTTGATTGATAGGATGATTGGAATAAAAATTTATGAATCTCTCCGAGTATGTGGATTTAGTGTACCAATCCAAGATAATGGTCTGGTCATTATTTCTAATAACCTTCGTATCTAGAAAAGGTACCTATGAGTTAACCTCGGTCTCAACAGTAAATTGTAAATGTGGATCAAAACCATTAAATACGTCAAGAACAATATCATCTACATACTTACAGATGAAGGCAAAAGTAAACTTGAGTAAAGGAACGCACTCATCCAAAAGATGATCCATAACCATAATAGCTAAAATGGGGCTGAGAGGACTCCCCATTGGAGTACCAAATTTCTGGCTGTAATTCTTTTTATCACAAATGTATGGTCGATTCCCAGGATTTCCAAATTTACCTTATTGTTAATGTTGTCGGAACTGATTGTAGGTTGTAGATAATTTTTATTTGACAAGCTCAGTGGAATAGCACGTAGACATAATATGCCTCTCTGTCCATGATCCTTGGACAAATAGAACATCTACTACTTGTTCTGCCTCGCATTTTTGCGTCTACATTTTGCGTAGTCCTGGGCGTAAATTAAAGTTCTGTATCTGCTGATTTCGGAAATCATTCAGAAATTACATATAACTTGACCAATTACTCTTGCGGTATTTAAAAATGAGAAAAGCAAACTTAAAGACCAAGGCTGTTTCTTGCTACGCTGTAATTAGTAGATAATTCGTGCAAGGTATCAACGCCGTCCTGGGTTGAATTATAAAAATTCATAATTTCTGGCAATTTCTCATCACCAGATTTTTCAACCTTTTGGGACATTTGACACTGACGTTTTTATTTTGTATATTTAGAAAAGCTAAATACTACTTGATATTTGACGCTATTCTTCCTGATTGTTCTAACCAATGTGAGTTTAGAGTAAGTTGATCATTATAAGAGGATAACTGTTCAACTATACTATTTGGTTTGTTACTTATTCAGAAAGGCCCTGCTGACTCCATGACAACGGAAACATCCGTGTTTACACGGATTATCCTTTAAACCATATTTGGAAAACTTGGCATATACGGAAGGAATGGTATACATCCTCCGAATGCTTCAAACTTCTCATCAACAGTTAGGTATTCACTGGGATCATAGCATACCTTACAATTTTTTACAAATTGATTGTAGATCCTTCTAATTTGTGTCAACTTGTCAATCTCTTACTGTTGCACTCTAATTTATATAATATCAAATCGTAGAGATTATAGCAAAATATAATATCTTTGTTGTGACATTGTTGTACAAACAGTCCTGTCAAGTAAAGTAACCCTGCAAATAACCAAGTAAATATGATTTGCTTCACACATTTAGTTACTAATTTAATATTTCTATAACGAACAATGTTGCAAAACATATCTTCTGTGACAGATAGCAGCCGACAATCAAGAGTATTCTTGTGTGGTACGATTCCCTTTACTCAAGGCAAATGAATTATTATATTTTCTGACCTTGTTCTACTCCTGATATTTCGTCTCCGTGTTCTGTTTCTTTTCCTGCAACTTTTTCTCTTACAGCTGCTTCACTTTCCTTTTTGGATTCATTATCTATAAAAGATTCCACCTTAGACCTTCCCCCAAAAATGCACCCTAAAAATACCTTTTACTTTAGTTGAGATTCGTGAGAACTTACATCGAACTACTGGTTCATATACAGCTAACATTGAGCCTATTTTGTTAAAATACGTATAA